CCCCAAAACCCCAAAACCCCAAAACCCCTAGTCTTATAAATTTATTGAGATGCTGGTATCGATCTTATAGAATATATTCATAAGTTTTCAGAGGAAGTATCGATATGGTTAATCTGAGGAAATAACATTTGAATAGAAATTGACAAATTTGTAGTCTTGATGAAAAATTTATTCTAATTATGGTTCCTTTATTAGTACTCTTCCGGTGAATCAAAATCTGACCATGGGTTTTTGATATTGAGCCAAGCATTGCTTTTCTGAGCAAAGGTGGCTTGTATTTCACGAATTTGTCTCTCAACAGATACAGGAATGCTTATGTTTAGCACAAACTCAATTTTTTGAAGATTAAGTGCAAGGTTCTGTGAAGAGAATAGATCTAGAAGGAGCAAGAATACTGTAGATTCCAAAGACAGACTTTGTCATTCAGAATCTTTTCATTCTATTATGTTGATCTCCCTGGTGCTGAAGGTTTTATATGAGTTTAGGCAAATTTTTGTGATGCAAAGTTTTCAAGAATCCAATTCTATTTTATTTAGTTTTATCGCAACTGTTGAATATTTTAGCAAAACATTTTGTAGAAATGAGCATTTTGGATAATTCCAGATAATTCAACCCAAAACTTAATTTTTTACAATAAACTTTGATACGCTTCATATAGAGAAATATTCCCTGTTTTTAGAACTACGAATATGAATCGAACCCAAGCATAAATTCTCAAAAGAGGATAACTTCTCCTTCAAATACCTCTTTGGTCTTCTCTTATCAACTTCCAGAACCAAAACACTCTCTCTTTCAACCTCCTCTGTATCAAATCTCTCTATTCCGGTCCTAATCCAATCATTCCCAATAACATATTCAAATTTATTACAAACAGCAGTAATCCTCTTCACAGCATCCACATTGATCCTAAACCCCTTAAAACTCTTGCTCAGTCACAAATCCCACTTATCACAAAACCTAATCTCCTCCTTCAGGACCCTCCCTTCCTTACAATCCGCCACTCCCTTCTTCTGGACCCAAGAAGGCATCCAATTCCTTATCTCCATACCTAATTTTTATAAACTCAACTTCTAAAATTACGCATGGGGTTTTGGGGTTTTGGGGTTTTGGGG